TGAGTTATCCTAGAGCTTGAGCATGGTCCTAGAGTCTTGAACCAGAAGTGACTCGGTCCACTGTCCCCAGAATGCTTTCTGCATGGTTTGGCTATTCAGAGACCCCATCTCAGTATCTGGAACTCCAATCTCCAAACTGCAGTCTGTGAACACTTACAGGTACCAGAGAATCAGAAGGGACTGGGAAGAAATAAAATATCTTTTTCCATCAGAGTCTCAGCAAAGTTGTTTTGACCATGCCTAGCATCTAAATGTCTATCATATTCCAGGAAAGGGCTCTTGACAAATGTCTCCCTGCAAGAAGCTCAGAAAACTTCAGACACCAGCTCCATCCTCCTCCCAGTGGCCCCAGGAAAAAGCCAACTCTCCTTGACCAAGAGCTAGAATCTTACATGTGCCTCTCCAGGGCATACAGCAGGTTTTGCCTGGGAAACTGAGATGGCTTCTGTGGGAGGACCACCTTTTTTCTGTCCTTGTTTTATCTAAGGCCCAGAAAGAGGGGCATGTTGGGCCAAGAACCAGAGGTTTCAAAGCAGAGACAAAGTGGAAATCTCAGTCCTCCAGACAGCTTCTCTGAAGCTCAAAGATCAAGGACAGAGAAGTAACATGGATGAGTGATTGGTCTCCCAGGAAGGAGAATGGGAGGACAGAGACAGAGGGGCAGGAGGGCAGAAAGAAACATGGAGTCAGGAAGCTGAGCAGGATAAGGGGGCTGAGTGAGAGAGAGAGACCAGGCGAAAGAGAGCACCAAAATGGAAGGAAAATGGGGAAGAAGAAAGGTGAGGGCAGGTGCTTGTCCTCCTGATAATCACAGAAATGAAAATTAAAGTCAGAGTGAGACGCTCCCCAGTCTGCAAAGGTTGGCAAACAATAAGATTGCAGACACTACCAAGTGCTACTGAGATGCAGAACACATGCGGCTGGTGGGTGCAAGTCAGCACGAGCGCTTGGGAAAGAGGCTGCTTTACCTAATGTAGTTAGAGACACGCACACCCTATGCCCAGCATTTCCACTCCTAGGTATCTATCCTGGGGAAAACCTTGCGCGTGTGACCCAAGAAGGAAGTAGGAGGATGTTCACAGCAGATCTGTTGGTACGGACAAAATCTGGAAATAATCCCAGTACCCAAAAGGAAAATGGAACATCAGTTACGGTGTCTTCATGTCGTGGAATATTCCACAGTAGAATGGAATGGAAGGGAACAAACCAGTGCTCTACTCAGCACCACGGAAGACTCCAAAGTGTAACGCTGAGTGGCAGAAGCCAAACACAGAAGACCGAGTAGAGTGTGATTCTGCTTATAGAAAGTTCAAAGGAAGACAAAATCAAAGGGAGTGTTTAGAAATGCAGACATAGATGGGAAAACCTTATCGAAAAGCCAGGGAAAATGAGGACATGATTACCCCTGGCAGGGAGGGGGGTTGCGATAAGGAAGGGGTACCATGGGGTAGGGGTCTGGAGTTTCTATTTCTTGACACCTGATGGTGGTGGCTACACAGACATTCACTTCATAACTCTTTAGTAAACTGTGAGTTTTATACATTCTTCAGTCTGCAAGAGGTTGAACATAAAATAAATAATCAAGTTCTAAGTATCCACACTGGTGAGCAGAGTCTGGTGCCTCTGAGGTGGCCCTGTGGGCAATGGGAGGCCTTCAGAGGTAGGTCTCTCCAGAGCTCAGCTAGACGTCCCCCCCAATCACTTGCTCCCACTACATCCCCTTTCCTCAAACCTGCTAGACCAAGGCTTCAGGGGCAGAAACAGAGCTGTCTTGGGAACCGGCCCCTGGGGATGGAAAGGCTGCAGGGCCCCATCCCGCCAGGACATGGTGGAGAGCAGTGCGGGGCCCAGCCCGATTGCTCTGCACTCTGCCTGCCTGGGGCTGGGCGCTCTACGACCCACCTCAATGCCTTGCCCACGAAGCACCGGCCCTTTCCACCCTCCCAGTGCTCCTGAGGACATGCCAGCCCCTGGGCCAACATGGGCCAACATGGGCCCTTGTCTGGGAGGTGGTTGGCAAAACCCTAGTTTTAGGAGCCTGAAATCTGCTCTAGAAAGGAACACAACTGCCTCTGCAATAATAATAATAATGGTATCAACAAAGTCACCTCCGTTCAGCAGCGGGGCTAACACACGGCTTGTCCTGTCTCCACTCCTCACCAGCAGCCTCGAGGGTAAGAGGTGGAGCCAGAACTCAGACTCAGAGCAGAGCCCCTCCAAGGCCTGTGTTTCCACGAGTTCCCCACACTCCTGAGCCTTCCCCACTGCACACGCCCCCTCACGTGGCCCCTAGGGAGCCCCAGCAAGCCACGTGGAGACGACCCCAGAGATGATCCCAGACAGAGAACTCTGATGAAGGCCGTGGCGGGTAGGGCACATCCCAGGGCAGTGCCCCCTGCCTCGTCTCTCTCGCTCAGAGAGCAGCAGTCCAACCTCCCGTCCAGAGCTGACGCAGGAAGGCCCCAAGAGAGGGCAGACCTCCCCAGTGACTCAGCCTCTGTCATGGCCTGATGTCTCTTCTCTCACTGCGCCCTTTGTCCTTGCTCCAGATCAGCTCCTGGACACCCCTCCAAGGACTAGGCGTCCTGACTGCCCCTCCCATCCCATCCCCACAGAAACAGCCTGGTGGCCACATTACCTCTCTTTTCTCTGTCCAGAGGCCAAACCTCTGTCACCAGAGGAATCCAGGTCCCATGATCTCTCCACCGACGATGCTGCCCGTGGGTCCGGGGAGGCAAAGACAAGGCAGCCCCACGCCTGGCCTGCCCTGGCTTGGGCCCAGCCTCGCAGCCCTGGGCTGCGGGCCTCCTGTCTGGGCAGGTGCAGGGGGCGGCCGCCGGCCCTGCTGCTGGCACGCTCCTCTCTCCGCTGGGCTATCCTTGAACAAACAAGGCTGCATAGCAACCACTGCTCCCTGCGTTGGGGAGAGAGGGAGCCAGGAGACGTTTCCCCACGGCCTCATTTCCTCCAGGGCTCCCTGGGGACTGGGCACTCCCAGGTGGCCGGCCTGTCTTGTGGGACTACAGGAGAGAGAGCACGGTGACCCAAGCGAAGGCGTGAACAGCAGGCTTGGGGCAGGATGCCATTGGCAACTAACCCTGGGTTTTGCTGCCCTTAGCCTCTGGGCCCAATTCTGATTTGGCTTAAAACTGCTCCTATTAGCTGAAGGGCAGGTGGTCTAAGCATCCAGTCCTTGGCAGCCAGCAGAGCTGAATCTGAATCCTGCTTCTTCCAGCTGTGTGACCTCTGGCCAGCACTTAACCATTCCCAGCCTCAGTTTCCTCATCTATCAAATGGGGATAATAATTGTACTGATTTGCCAGGGTTGCTATAAGAATTAGTTAGGTGCGTGTATCACCTTGTGATTTTGTCTAGCCCATCACGGGCCCTCCATCACTGTTTGAGCCCCTCCCCAGAAATATTTGCATAGCAGGAAGCCTATGGCCTCCTCCCAAACCAGATTTCACTGCACCAACTTTGGACGACGTGAACCCCAGCAGCCCATGTGTGCTTCCTCCCTGAGCCCAGGCCCTTGGACAGAAACCCCAGGCTGGAGTCTCCCACCTCAAATAACAACTGCTCCCAACCCCAACCTTACTCCCTTCCCACCCTCACCATCCAAGGGGTAAATGGAGAGCCAGGCCTCATTAATTTTATGCAGCCGTGCAAAGGAGCCACTTGCCCAAAGACACTACAAATCTTTCCAGGCAGATTCCCCCACATTCTTTACAGAGGAATCGGAAGGTGTGTGAAACACTGAGCAGGGAGAGCTGACTGCAGGCTGTTCACACATCCGGGAGGCCTGGCCCAGGGCTTGCTGACTGAACCCACGGCTGACCCTCCCATCACTTTCCTGGGGTTCTCTCCTCTCCTCTAAGACCACTGAGGGCAGGCCAGGGGGGGGGCCTCTCCTGAGGCCCTGAAGGGACCAGCTAGCATTAACCAAGCTCCAGGGCGGGGACCAAGGAGGACCAGGCAATGAGCACTGAGAACAAGATTTCCTCCAACAGGCACTGGCCCTGAGCCAGAACCCTCAGTCCCGCTGGGCCCGCCGGGGAGGCTGACTCTCCACAGCCCATCAGGAGGCAAGCTGGTAAGCTGAACTGAACTTCTGAACTCCCTCCAGCAGAAGCCCCAGGAAGGAGGCACTTTCTCCAAACCAGGGCTGTGGCAGCAAGGAGCAGGGGGAGACCTTCTTGTGCTTTGTGTTGGCTCCCCCATCCCTGTGAGGTTGGAAGGTGTAAAGAAACTCAGAAGATATGAAGAAACCTGAGTTTATAGATGGGGAAACTGAGGCCTGGCACAGTCAGCCCTTGCCCAAGTCCTGCAGCTTATAAATGAGAGCAAGTCATCCTGGGAACGCCAGACAGGGTGGGGACAGGAAGAGGCCAGCCTCAGTGTCCCTTAGCTCCACCAGGGTGGGGGGCGTGTAGCATATGTTTCACACAGGTTCCCCCCAAACCCATCCTCACATCACAGTGAGAGCCAGAGCTTCTAAAACACAGATTCAAGAGTTGATCCCCAGCTGGACACCCCTCATGGCTAGCAGTGTCCTTGCAATAAAGGCCACACTCAACACCATGACTGTATCTCCTCCTGCTCCCCCTGGTCGCCACCCTGCCCCTGCTAGACTAACCTGCAGAAAACACGTCTTGAAGGCGGCCTGTACCACACTCTGCCCGGTGCTGGAAACAGAGCAGAGATCAGTGTGCCCTCAGGAGTGGGGTGACAGAAGAGACCCGACAGGTGACCTCCTGTGCAGCACTACACTACTTGGAATGAGGGAGGCACACTTTGGAAACCAGAGCTCGGAGACCAGACCAGATCCAAGCCCAGCTACCACGTGACCGCGGGCGAGAAACAGGCTCTCGGAGACCCCGTATCCCCATGAGCCAAGGAGGGAGGAGGGCAGCTCTCCCCTTCACAGATGTGAGTGACCTTGGAAAGCACTCAGCGCCCCACTGGGCATGAGCAGGCACTCTGCGGGGTCACATGCTCACCATTCCATGACGATGTGATGATGACAGTGAGCTGGAGACCCTGAGATGTGGAGCCAGCCTGAAGCCTGAAGGGTAAAGAGCCATCCAGGAGAGAGCAGGGCTCCTGAAGGTACTGAGCTCCAGGCCTGGGCCCCTGCTAGCACAGGGAGCTGGGGGCTGAGGGGAAATGGAACTGCCATCTGGAAGCTTCTTGGTAACTCGCCTGCAGAGATCACAGAGGAAAGGGACGTGAACCTCTTGGCACCAGGAATTTGTTGTGATTTCTTTTATCAGTCTAAACACCCACTTTTGTATCTAATTCTATCTTCTCTCTTAAAGAAGCCCCCAAGTTGTTTAAGCTTTCATCTCCACAAAGGCAGGCATACCCTGTAGAGAGGCCTGCTGGCAAGGGAAGAGGCTCTGGAGGAATTCCAGGAAGTGGGAGCCTGCGCGGCATGCAGTGGAAGGAGGGAGACTGGTGAAGGGGATGAGGGAGAAGGGACCAGATCACAGGCCTCTGAGCTGCCTTAAAGCGTGTGCACTCACGGCCCCCAAACGTGTGGCTCTTGGACACTGGGTGTCTGATAGCCCCACCTGGAAAGCACCCCCCACCTCATCCCTTGCACACACACATGCTTGTGTGCCTGGTAAATCCCTACTCATCTTTCAAGACACAGCCTGTGATGGGTGGGACTGAATCTCCTAAAAATTCATATGTTGAAGTCCTATCCCAATAACTCAGAATGAAACCTCACTTGGCGATAGAGTAATTAGCTAAGTTAAGAGGAAGTCTTACCTGATACCCTTACAAAAAGGGGAAATTTGGACACACACACACACACACACACACACACACACACACAGAGGGAGAACACTATGCGGAGATTGGAGTTATGTTGCCACAGCCAAGCAACTACCAGAATTAAGGGACAGGCCTGGAATGCCCTTCCCCAGCACCGTCAGAGGGAGCATGGCCCTGGTAACAGCTTGGTTTTGGACACCTGCCCCTGTGAGACAATACGTTTCTGTCATTCTGAGCTGCCCAGTGTGTGGTCTTTCATTACCGCATGCCTGGAAACCAACACAGAGCTCAAACATCCTCTCCTATGTCCCCTGTGCTCCTGCTAGAGTCTGAGTGCGGGATGTCTCTGCTCCCTCCACCTGCTCCGTGCTGATCAGCAGATGGAGACCCATCCTCTGGGCTACATCAACAGGCCCTCTTGCCTTCTGGCTTCCTTGGGTTTGGCCAGTGAAGGCGACAGAAAAGGCCAGGGTTTTATTCTCCCTACATCCTCCACGCAGTCCTTCTGGGCTGGTGGCAGCCCTCTTCATTTCTGAGATCTTTACTCCTTTCAAGCCTACAGTGATGGAGGGGCCCAGCATGACCAGCCGGCCACTGAACTACCCCTGTGGCTTCTCCACATCCTGCCTACACCTGTATAAATCCTTATGAAACTGTCCTCCAATCACCCAATATGAGCATGTATCTGTCTCTGGCCAGTCCCCATGTTTCCTCACATCACACTGACTCTCTGGTGAACTTGCTTGATGACTTTGTGTCTGTGTCCCTCCACATTCTGTGAGCTCCTTAAAGGCAAGGACCATGAGTGTTTACTTACACACACCCAGCACGGGGCACAAGGCCCAGCCCGCCCAGAAGGCACTGAATAAATACTTGAGATGCATGAATTAAACGGACAAATCAACCGTGCAGAATCATAAGCCAGGAGGGCTCTTGAAACACCAGATAAGTCGTCCCTACCCCATCCACAGAGGACAGCCCTTGTCTGTCCACCCAGAAAGCAGCTCAAGGAGGTCTCAAAAACCATTATTCTGTAATTTTCCATGCTAGTGAGTTCGGACAATGGAAGATGATTATGTGTTGACCCTATTCCCTCAATAAAAATGTCACCAAGGGTTCTCTTGGCCCTCATTGATTTGTAAAATGAATTAAACTGCTTCTATTTCCAGCAATGTGAAGGACTAGATGTCCTGGACACACTTCCCATTGCAAAGCATCTGGATGTCCTGGTAAAGATACACAAATAGGCTTCTAAATACATAGCTGCGCTCTTAATAGGGACTTCGCTGAGGGCTGCACTGCCCGCACTCTTCCTCACTCCTGGCCTTTGCTCATGCTATTCCCGCCACCTGAAAAGCCTTTCCCACACCCCTTCTCACCACTTTATGTGCACATATCACCCCTGGGCCAGGGCCCACTCCCCTTTGGGGAACCCTCCCTGCTCTCCAGGGCCTCCTCTGCTTCTCTGGTCCCTGCACATCCCCATCATAGCTCCACTCTGCACACTGAGCTGTAACTGTCCACCCCAGCCCAGCCCCCAGCCAGCCGTACGTACACACATGCACACACACACACACACACACACACAAATGGCTGTGAGCTCTGTAAGGGCAGGGTGCAGGTCTTTAGATCCCTAGAACCAGCACCAGCCAGAGTGTGCAGCAGACACTCAGTACACAAGGCAGGAGTGACAGTGTGGAGGACAGGGGATGGTGAGTGGCACAGAGCCCCCTTTCCCTGCAACATTCAGTAGGTGTCCTGAACACATCTCTCATTGTAGTATCTGGACATCCTGGTTAAAATTTACAAATAGGTGTCTAAACACATAGCTGGGCTCTGTAGAGACAAGGGAAGGCCCTTGTCTCTGCTTAGGTTCCCAACTCTGTCCTCTGTCCTGGGCAGGATAAAGTGAGGACAGACCAACAGTGATTAGCCAAGGGTTCCAGACAAGGAGACCAGGGAGTTGGCCCCAGCTTTGACTCTGTCATCAACTTTCCTGTGTGACCTCCAGTAAGTCCCTGTCTTCCTCAGGCTTCCAAACTGTCATTTGTGAAACAAGGCAATCAGACACTGCATGACCTCCAGGTCTCTCGCTCTGACACCCTATATTCTAGGTCCCACCCCAGGCTGAGGAGAAGGGCTGGAGGCCTCCTCCCTTCTGAATGCTATACAACCCCACAGAGAAACAGAACAGTAGAGGCAAGCTAGCACTGTTTCTAGGCTGACACTTGGGCTGACTCATCCTCCCAAAATTTCTCTCACGTTCCCTCTTACCCCAGCCCACCTCTCATGGCCCAGCCTGGGTGGGGGTGATCAGACGCTACTAAGGGCACAGACCCCACCCAATTGGCATCCCTCTCTGGGCTGGCTTGTTCCCTGGGAAGTCCCTGGGAAACTCCAAATTAATATATGCAAAATAATATATGCCACAGGGTCAGAGAGGGGACCAAACCAAATAGGAAATTATAGATGAAGGAGACTGATTCCTAGAGAGTCACAGCAGAGATCAGTGGTAGAGACAGGACATGGGCCAAGGCCTTCTGATTATGCTGCTTCTGGCCTAGCTGCCCCTCAGGGACTTCTCCCAAGAGAAGGCAACCCCTTACCCTACATAGGGTGCCCTTCCTTCCTTTCCCCTACTAAAGGGAGTGTTAGGGAAGAAGAGCTCACTGCCCCATGGCCACAGAATACCTGATCCTTCAGCAACGAATTGATGGATAGGTGAGAGGAGGAAAGAGAGGAGGGAAGGGAGGAGGGAGGGAGGAGGGAGGGAAGAAGAGAGGGAAACTAATATGTGAATGAATGAATAAAAGAATGAATGTGAATAAACAGAGATGAAGGGCAGAGGGAGGGAGTCAACAGGCGAGTGAATAATTTGGGAGCCAATAAGGAAAAAGTACTGGATACATTATTATAAGAACATGCAAAGAAATAAGAAAATTCTTAAAATGCTCTCATATTTCCCATTTGTGAAGGTTCATCAAACTTATGATCACATATTGATGATATGTGCACATTTCTGTACATACATTTTTCTTTTCAAGCCTCCACTTACCAGGGTCCAGTGGGGAATGGAACTTCCACCCCCCACCCATTGGCAATGAGGCGAGGCACAGGAGTGTGAGACAGTGCTATCATAAAATGCTTTGATGAACGATTATGAACATGCTTGAACACATAAAAATTAGAAAGTCTCAGCAAAGAAATAAAAGATATACAGAAGAGCCAGCTGGAAATTTAGAACTGAAAAACATAACTGAAATAAACAACTCAAGGTGACTATGACTACGGCAGAGGAAAGAATCAGTAAGCTTGAAGACAGAACAATAGAAATTACCCAATATGAATAACAGAGAGAAAATAGACTGAAAAGAAGTGAGCAGAGCTTCGGGGACCTAAATGTTATAACCAGAGATCTAACATTTGTATTACTGGGTGAAGAGGAGAAAGAGTGTGGGGCTAAAAAAGGATTCAAAGAAATAACAGCTGAAAACATCCCAAGTTCAGTGAAAGATATTAATTTACAGATTCAAGAAGATGAGCCAATCCCAAATGAAATAAACCTAAAGAAATCCACTTCAAAACATGTCATAAACAAAGTTCAGAAAACTAAAGACAAAAAAAAAATCTTGAAAGAGAAAAACTGTCAACCCAGAATTCTATATCCAGCAAAGACTATCCCTCAGGAATGAAGATGAAATCAAGATGCCCACAGACAGATGAAAGCAACTAACAGAATTTGCCATCATCAGACCAACCCTAAAGGAATGGCTAAGAGAATTTCTTCACATAGAAAGGAAATTATTAAGGAAATTATAAAAGAGGGAAACTTGAGACATCAGGAACAAGGAAAGAACAAAGAAAGAGTAAAAACGTGGGTACATGTAAAAAGCTGTTCTTTTCCTCCCTGGGACAGGGGAGGCACGTAGGGTGAAACAGAGTGTCCCAAAGGCTTGCGATTGGACACCATCAAGGGGCAAAGTGAAGGAGCATATCTGAGGCATTTTGAGCTATTGACGAATGCCAGCTAGCGTGCTTGTAAAGGTTCTTTGTTGTTTAAGACGTTCTGAGGAGGGTTTTCTATCACTTGAAGCTGACATTTTCCTAACTGATAAGGCCACTGACTTTCTGAGACTTCCCATCCAAAGACCCTTGTGCTAAGGAGAGTATAATGACTAAAACACAAGCCTCGACAAATATCCCTCACTAGGGCGATACATCATTTGACTCACAAGAACACAAATCACATCCTTGGTGTGGACCTGTGTAGCACAAATAGGCTAATCAAAGAAACTTGCCCCAGCCCAAGCAGAAAAGCAAGCAGGTGAGAACAGACTTGACTCTTCTGCGCCAGAGACTGGGGGCAGGCACCGCGCTGAGGGAAATGCTCAGTCTGTGTTCATATCTGCTTCTCCTGTGGGAAGGATGTCAGCCATCCACAGCCCAGCCGCAGGAATGAGAACGTGACGGTGAAGAGCTCTAGACCACTATGTAAGCGACAGAGAAGACACAGAGGAAAAGGAGGTCTCCGCTGAGCCACTGAAGGGTCACAAGCCACAGTGGACTGGGCTTGGCGCCACAGCTCCAGAGGCCAGGATGCTACTTTATGGATATGCAGGAGGGTGAGCTTCTTCACACTCTCACAAGTGGCTCCCCCAGGGGCACTGAACACTCCATCCTCCGGCATGTGCGAGGAGAAGGTAGACAGCACCCTGCAGGCTCTCCCAGCCAGCCTCCGACTCCCTAACCTGCACAGCTGTTAGCATAGCTGACATGGTCATGTCGGAGCCCTTACAGTTCCCCCCTTCCTTCCACTGACGCTATCCAGGACTACACGCTGCAGTAAATCACTTCTGTGTCGTCAAGGACTTTGTTTAATAACCATTAGGACCAGGTGGCCTTTTTTTTTTTATGCTCTGTTAGTCCCCAAACAATGATGAATATCCTTGCTAATGTATCCCCTACCCCCACGAGACAAGTTACCAATTCATAAATCTTGACTTAGGAATGCAGTTCTGTTTCCAAGCACCTCCTCACCACCCTAGGTTAACTATAAAATTGTCCCAGCGGCCCCTTGGCGGGGCAGACTGCAGTGGACAATGCTTCCAGATAGTTGTCTGTCCCATCCTATCCTGTGACTAATTACACTATAATAAACTGATCTATTGATAACATGGAGCTGCCTGCTTTGTGGTTCTGTCTCAAAATAATTTCTCAGTTTGGTGAGTACTTTTCGTTCTTTCCAACCTCCAACACCAAGCCCACTAAGAACACTTACAGCTCGGCGATTCTGGGCTGTGGGGCAGACAGGACATACAGTCTTCTGGGTTTCAGGTGGGTTCTGCGTTTCATTCCAGCTGTATTCTGAAATCGTGCTGCTAGCCAGACCTGCCTCAGGGCCAGTGGGAATCTCCATTCCAGCCATTCCCCAGTTGTTTTATGGAAATGTGAATGCTAAAAAAAAAAGAAAAAAAAAGTTCTGGTTAAAAAGTTTGGGAAACATGAATTTAAATAATGCTGAAATAGTTTTTTAATTATACCTCTTCTGAGGGCCTTTTCATAGGTTCTATGTGTTGTAAGGCTCCAGTAAAGGGGTAGCATATGAAGCAACATCCAAATATATACGACCATAGACCTATTTGTTCATGAAATATTTCTCAGGACCAGAGCTATAAGGAACACGTTATAAAACAAGGCTCTGTCTCAAAGTTTCCAAGGCAACTAGGCCAGAACTTAAGCTCAACCGAATAACCAATTTATAATTTGATTCAAATCATATTTTACATCTTGGGACCATCAAGACAAATCATGTCTCAGGAAAGGTGTCCAGACCAGCCAGGGTGCGGCTCTCCCTCTCCAGCTGGTACTAGAATATCACTACTTCCCTCCAGAAAACTCATCGGAAGCAGATGAGGAAGAAGACTCCTTCCCATGGGAACATTCCTCAGACAAGATGCAAGAGCAGCCTCAGGGTGAGGAGAGAGAGGGAATGCATCTTCCCAGCACCAGGAAGTCTGTCAAGGATCTCCACCCCTCCACCACCAATCTTCTCTGGAAAAACCATCAACGACCACAAATGCTAGCTTTTTGAGCCATTTCGCCTCCTTTGGAATATGACTGACTCCCTAAGCCTCCCACGCAGCACCTGAGGAGCCAGACTTCAGGGGAGTTTTCAGAGGCCCAGTCCCAGTTCTGCAGCCTCCAGGCCTGTTGGGCCCCTGCAGCCTCAAGGCATCACCGTCAGCCAGGGCTCTCTGGGAGGGAGAAGACAGGAGGAGACATGCATCCTCTCTGGAGAGCCAAGCGGGGCCAGCCAGAACAAGGACCACTCCCACCCCCCACCCACATTCTCTGGGCACTGGCTCTGTTTGATGTGGATGGAAAGAAAAGACTCTTGTTTCTTTTCTTTTTTCTCAGTGTTCCCCCAGGTGACAGTTACCATGGATGTAAATCAATTTGTGGTGGCTGTCAGTTGCCAGTTGAATATAAAGAGCAAGCTCTCCCTGAGTCACCATCACACAGTGACACAAGAGGGAGCCAGCAACTGACAGTGACTGATAGCAAGCTTAGGCCTGCTCCCCAAGCAGACGAACGCCTGCTCCGGGGAGTCCATGTTGGTTTCTAACATGACACACATGCATACACTCCAGGGGTGAGTAATTGGACATAGATGAATACTGATTAACTCCGTCTACCCCTCACTAATATGCAGGACACCCAGAACTCTAAAGAATACTTTCCTGGAATGCCTAAAGAAAATATCCAAAAATAAGCCCCTGAGAGAGGGCCTTGTAAAGGCTCATTTAATAATCAGAGCTACCATTTAACATTGGCCAAGATATATATGTACAGTTCTCTTTTACACATGAAACTTCTCAAATCCAGAGTCTTGCCAATGCCTCTGAAATGCAGGAGGCTCTCCTATGGAACTCATGAGCTATCATAATGTGGGTGAAAAACAGGTGTCATTTCTCCTGTGTTCTTGGGGACTAGGCAGATGTTATAAATCATCATTGCATGGGGATGGTATAGTCTTATTTTTGTATTTATAGATACATATGCACATAGAAAAGTCTGGAAAGATATATGCTCAAACATTTTCACTTACTTCAGGATGGAGGGGACTAAGGATGATTTTTACTTCAATTGGTATTTCAAGGTTTTCTGCTATAAACATTGATTATTTATATGCATTTTTAAATTACTATAATAAAGACTATGTGGCCACATAAAAAGATAAATAATCAAAAGTTAAATGAGACGTCTCCTTCTGTCGTGATGCAATAACATAAACCAGATTCACCCTCCCACAATAAACAATCAGAAAACCAGACAAAAATACATGAAACCATTATTTTCAGACATTGGACAATAGGTAGCACTGTGACTCCTGAGAGAAAGGAAACAGATGAAGGGAGGCTGGCAGGAGTCCTAGCTTTCTTCCTGAAGGCATGTTCCAGACCAGAAAGCAGAGACAGCAAATCCCAATCCAACTTTGTTGATAAGACATAGACAGGGGT